ACTTCTTACCGCAGGAAAAGGAAAAAACACAGACACTGCTGAAGTGGAGGAGGGTCAAGAGCTCCAGCCGGTGCCGCTGACAGTTCGATTCCAGATGCAGCTGCTTCGATGGCCCTTGGCAGCCAGCACCCAGAGCCAGGAGAACGTGGCCATGGGGAAGACTCAATGATGTGTCCATAGCAGAAGCATGAGTGGAAATAAACCACACGGGAACGCTGCGCGGAGCCTGGTTAGCTGAACCGCCAGAGCTGGGAGATGCCCCGGGGCTCCTGGTGGTCTGTGGCTGGTGCTGAGCTTCTGCTGGAGCTGGAGCGGGCAGGGGGCGTTGGGTGGGTGTGCGGGGTGCAGGGTGGGTGTCCGTGCTGGGGACACGCTGCCCCGGTGCCGGTGCCACCCCCCGCATCCTCCGCCCGCGGGCGGGGCTCGGCAGCGCCGGGGCGGGGCGGGGGCGGTGGCAGCTCCCGGGGAATCGGGGAGGGAAGGCAGCCCCCGGGGAATCGGGGAGGGAGCAGCAGCTCCCGGTGAATCGCGGAGGAGCCTCCTCCGCAGAGCAGGGCCGGGGTTCTGCCGTGCGGGGTCACCGTGGAGCGGCGGCTCCAGCCCGGTCTGCGCGCCCCGGCGGGGCTGGGGGCTCTGGACCGTCCTCACCGGCAGCTCCGGGTCCTGGTGAGAACCGGGGGGAAGCACCGAGACACGTCCCAGTCCCAGGTAAGGTGGGAGGGCACGGCTCGTCTTCATCTGCCCGGCCGGGACCGGTCCTGCACCGGATGCTGCCATGTATCCCAGGATTAAAAGCCTTGTGCTTTACACCTTCTCATTCACGCTGCTGGCCTGGGTGTTCTACATGAAGAAGGAGGCGAAGTTGGCAGCATCATCAGCAGAGCAGAAAGTGGATGTGGTGGATCACAGACTGCAGCCCTCGGTTCTGGACAGCGCTGAGCACAGCAAGTGTTTGCCAAACTTGACCTTTGCCAATTCTTCTCTCGCCCTCCCGGAGCCTCACCGAGTCTTCCTAACCTACAAGCACTGCAGGAACTTCTCGGTCCTGCTGAGGCCTTCCAGGTGTAGCAAAGAGATGTTCCTCCTGCTGGCCATCAAGTCTTCCCCCATCAATGTGGACCGGCGTGTGGCCATCAGGAACACGTGGGGGAAGGAGGTGTCCATCAGGGGCAGGCACATCAGGCTGGTGTTCCTCCTAGGGCGCTCCGAGGCCAAAATCCAGCTGCAGCCCCTGCACCAGCTGCTGGCCTATGAGAGCCAGGAGTTCGATGACATCTTGCAGTGGGATTTTGTTGACGACTTCTTCAACCTGACCCTCAAGGAGCTGCATTTCCTCCGCTGGTTCACGGAGGACTGCCGGCACGCCAGGTTCGTGCTGAAGGGCGACGATGATGTGTTTGTCAACACTTACAACATCGTTGAGTTCCTCCAGGAGCTGGACCCTGAACAGGATCTCTTTGTTGGGGACGTGATTGCCAACGCCCGGCCCATCAGGAACACCAAGGTCAAATACTTCATTCCAGAGCCCATGTATGGAGCCACCTTCTATCCTCTCTATGCAGGAGGAGGGGGATATGTGATGTCTAGAGAGACAGTGCGTCGCCTCCAGAGCACCGCAGAGGACATGGAGCTCTTCCCCATAGATGATGTGTTTGTGGGAATGTGTCTGGCAAAGATGTCAGTGACCCCAAAGAACCACGCTGGCTTTAAGACTTTTGGGATCCAGAGACCTTTCAATCCTTTTGATCCATGCTTGTACAAAGAGCTGATGGTTGTGCACAGACTGAACCCAACAGAGATGTGGATCATGTGGACGCTGGTGAAGGATGACAGCATTAGGTGTGCAGTGTCGGTGACACACAGCTACAGCAGGGGCTGGAAAAGGAGCTACTGATGAGCCCAGGGATTGTGGCTGGTGACAGAGTACTTAAACTAAAAATCAGGTTGTGGTAGAAACGTGTCCGTTACTAACAGACTGCACTGGAGCTGTCGTGGTTTGGTTTGCAGTGAGTCTTTTTTCTGTCAAGGGTTACTTGAAGCAGTTGACTTGTCACAGGGTGGGGCTGTGGTCAGTGGCTTCCCAGCCAGACTGTGCCGGGGGAAGTCACAATTGCCACCTGTACTGATGTCTGACTGCTGGCCAAAGTCAGTCTCATGTGGGACAGCCAGCGATGACTAAGGAGTGACAGAGCATTTGAAATTTACTTGAAGGCATGGAAGAAAGGCCAGTATGTCCTGCTAGGTCTGCTGTCCCAGGGCAGAAACCCCACAGCTCCTACCAGACAGCAGGAGAAAGGGAGTGGAGTGGGGAGGGAAAAGCTTCAAAAATACATGGCCTTAACACAGCAGTGATGATGATCTGGGGGACTGGGCTCTGCCTCCAGCCCTTTGGCTTTTGCAGAAACTCACAAAGGTTTACATGCACTGGAAACTTTAGCACAAACACTTTCTGATCTGGTTTGAGAGGAGCCACGTGTTTTGAATAATCATCGTGGAAGAGTGGCTGTAGCTTCCCATGTTGTGTGGGAGGTGTTTGGTTCGTTTTAATGTTGTGTATAAATAAAACACTTTTCAAAAGTATTTACATGGGAGTATTCTTAGGTCTTCTGAAAGCTAAGAGCCCTAAAAGCCAGGGAAGGCTGAGATCTGGTGCTGGGTATTTGCATTAAAGAGGAAAATGTTAGTGGAAATGGATACTTGCTCCTTCTTCTGTGAGCTGTTCTCTGCCCTGTTCAGACAAGATGCATTGACACAAAAGTGATAAATCTGAATGTGCTGGAGTTGCTAATTTGAGAAAAGATCAAATATAGAACTAAGTTTTGGTGATTCTTTTGTGAAGCTTATCAGTATCTTGCTGCTAGAGCAGGAGCTGTGGATGAGCAGGAAGCAGCCTGGAAGCCTTAGGGGAAAAAACAAGCAAATGAGTAAAGAGGAAGTGTGTGATTAGAGCAAGCAGAGTCCTTTGTGCTGTGCTGTTGTAATTGCTGTCTGTAGTGCCAGCTGCCCAGCATCCATCCCCCACCAGATGGGAGCTGGAGCTTTGAGAAGTGCCCAGGAAGTGCTGCCAGGAGGCTCCTGCTTGTCCTGTAGACAGGGACACCCTGAGAGCAGAGGTGTGGGAGCTCTCAGTGGGATGGTGAGGGACTGCTGGTGATGGGCTCCCTTGGCCCTCTGGAGCACCTGGAGTAGCTCTGGCTGAGCCCCAGGGCTGACCCAGGCTCTTGGGGCAAAGGTGCCACCTCACAGGAGCTGTTTCTGTGCCAGTGTGAGTAGGGTTTGTCTCAAATAATTGGGGGCTGTTCATCCTCAGGGTGGTCTTGTGCAAGTTGTTACTGTGTTTTCTGGCTTCAGCTCCAACAGGGTTGCATTAACTGGAGCTGAGACAGTGCCTGTGTGCAGTTTTAGGTGTATTGGCTTTGTAAACAAGGCCAAGTATCAGCAGCAAACCCCAGGTTCTGGGCACAACTCTCTGGGCACTGCTGCTGGTCCTGGAGAGGAGGCTGCACAGAGTGGGCACTGTGGTGCCCTGTGAGCTGCTGTGCCAGCACTTCTGTGACCCACTCGATGATTCCCAGTGCAAACTCAGGAGCACAGAGCATGATGTCATGTCTGTTGTGGGCATAGGTGTGGGGCTAACTCCCAACTGGCAGCTCTCACTTCCTGACAAAGGTGAGGGACTCCTTTCTGCCCTGTTTTGGGGCAGTTGGTGCTCCTCACCCCCACTTTGACTTGGCTGGCCTGACTGGTTGGTCCCAGTCACGTCGGGCTGGATGTGTGTGGAACAGCTCTCGGGCAGGAAGCGCAGTACGTGCAGTGAAACAAGAAGTGGGGTCACAGCAGGGCTGGGAGCAGGCCCTGAAAGGGGAAGAGGGACTTTCCTGGCTTTGCAGGCTCCTGGCCAGTGCCATGCAAACATCTGAGTAGAGTTACTGTGGCATCCTGAAAGGTACACAACTTGTTTGTTCACTCAGGTCAGGGGCTTGGCAGTTGTTCTTCAACTGCAAAGGTACCAAAGTAGAGCAGTTGTGGTTAGAGGTTGATCTGAGGCTGTATTTGGCTCCTGAGGGCTCAGCTGTGCCACCACCCAAGTAATCCTCTCATCACAGGGTTTTTTTTTCCCTAATGCTCCAGCCCAGAGCTGTGTTTAGCACAGCAGACATGGGCAGCTCCCTGCAAGCTGAATTCCAGACTGTGCCATCCTCCTTGGATACAGCAGCACCCAGTGAGGAGCAAGGAAAGAGGGTTTGTTAAATTTTCTTTTTACTACTTAATCTATAAATGAACAGTGTTGTGCACCTGAGATTGCATTTGTTCCAAAGGCAGCCAAAATGAGACACCTCTTACGCTGCAGGTAAGAAAATTCCTGGTCGGTACAACTCAATTTAGTAACACCAACCTTGACACTGATACATCAGATGCTAATCTGTGGTGAAAAACCTTTGATTAATGTGTGTTTTCTTACACAAACTGGCAGATGGGGATCCAATCAACGGTGATAAAGTTGAAGTGGATGCTGTTCTACAAAGCAAATTTCACACCAGCTGTCAAGTTAGGAAATGAGCAGTGAAAGACACCCATGGTTTTGAAACCTGCAGTGAAACATTAAGCTTGCAAAAGAAATAATTATTTCCTGAAACTTGCATTGGGAAGCATTCAAATATGTAAAACTCTTTTGCTCAGTGCTTTGTAGAACAGCACACAGCAGCTGCCAAAACAATTTTGTTTATAACTACAATATACTGAAAATCAAACCTCCCCATTGCTTCCTGGGGAACCTCCCCCAGAGGTGATCCTGGGTGAAATAAGTTGCTGTGCTGAACAAAACTGCACCAAGAGCCTGGGTGACTCCATGGGAAGTTCTCAGCTCCAGAGCAAATATTTCCCCTGACTGCAGCTCAGTGTCATTTGGTGCAGCTGCCAACCCAGAGGTTAAAAACTTTTAAATTCAAATAGAAAGCAGGGCCTAATCTCTTCACCAAAGGGACACACCCACAATGAGCTGCTTTTGCACAGTTTAATAAAGGCGTATCACAGACATAATTTACCTCACAGGTTAAAAACAAGGATTTTTAAATACACTTCTCTGTCTGATCCCACAAACACACTAAGGGAGCAGCAGGACCCTCCAAGCAGAGACACAATTACCACCAGGCCATCCCTGATAACAGTCTTCACATTTGCATAGATAAACATTTAAATAAATGAATCCAAAAGTATTACAAACAAGGTAAGTTACAAACAAAACTGAGGCCTTCCAAATACTTGATTTGTAAAGCAATCCTTTTTGGGGGAAAAAAAAATGGAATCACAGGCTTATTTCAGCAGTTTTACACTATCCCACACTTAAGAGCTTGGGACTGTTCCATTTGTGACTGACCCTGAGAGTTCAGTTCTGTTCAGTCCTCCCGAAGGTAAGGGTCATCATCTGTATTTTCTAAAACACCCTGTGGCAATGAGTCCTCTCCTCGGGCTTTGATGAGCTCGTCTGTCTGAGCTTCAGCTAATTTGGTCTCTGCTTTCTGGGACAGCAGCCTCACCTCCTGCACCTGGGACTTCAGCACCTGGATGTGGCTGCGGGCTGTCACCGAGGCCTGGTCTGCACCTGCAGGGAAGGATTGACACTCTGGGTTCCAGGAGCACTGGGCAAACCTTCAGCTAAGGAAATGGATGGGATTACCATCTGCTTCGCTGTGTTGTGAGGGCTCTTGGGCTGTATTAATGGTCAATACTGTTCATTTACCTCAAGCCTTTTGTCTGCTTTGAGGTGTCACTGCTCCCTTGAATTCTCCCATCCCAGTGGGATACAGCTGGAGCTGGACAGGAGTGATCACCTTGTGCCAGTGGGTTTGAGAGCTAAACCCAGCCCAGTCCCTGTGTGCTAGAACCTTTCAGTCCTTGCCCCATCCTGGCACCTACAGCAGTGGGAATACTTGTGGCACTCTTGAATTCCCACCATTCTCCTCCCATGCTCCCACAGATTTCTGGGTCTTCTCCCAGAATTAGGGTCTCAATATATTCACTGCCTTCCCACCCTTCTCCACTTCAGTAACTTTGCCCATTTGCCACAAACCAGTCCATAACTCAGTCTCAGAGCTCTCAAATCTCTCCAGGGAGAAAATACCAAAATTAGTGTATATTTTCCTTTTTTAATGTAACTAAATCCATCTGGAAAATCCTCCTGGATTCATAGGCAGCCTTGGTTCTGTGGCTCCCAGGACTGTGTTTGAGCCTTGCATTTAAAAAGAACTGAACTCTACCCTCAGACATTTTTGGCCATGGTTAGTCTTGACCTAAACCACAAGTGAAGTTTCCAGGCTTAGCTCTCAGAACACACCTACAGACTCGCAGCCAAAACCAGAATGTACGTGCTCAGCACCTCTGAAAACCAGGCACCAGCTGTCAGTGGTGGTGTTAACTGGGTGTACACTGTGTGTCTGAACTGTGCTGAGAGAGGGACAAGGGGCAGAGGCTCAGTGCTGCTGCTCACCTGACTGATACGCGGCCTCTGCCGCCATCTCCGACAGCCGCAGCGCCGTCATCCAGCTGGATTCCAGCCTGAGGTACTCCTGCTGCTTGGTGGTCATCTGGGAGAAAGAACCAACAAGGTGTGACACACTGAGAGCTCTCCTGAGCTGTGCAGAGCAGGGCTGGAGAGGCAGATGGTGAGGGAGGTTTGTTTGCTCACATCCACTCTGGCTCCTATGACCACCTGCCAGACTGCATCCACCTCTTCCGAGTTCATTTTCCCAAGGAGATTTGAGTATTGCTTGTAGAGAGACACCAGGGTATAAACTGCCTGTGAAAGAATAATTTTGCACAGTTACCACAACAGCTTGCACAGCTCTGGTGTTGTCTCAGTGTTACCTAGTGTTAATTAGCAAAATTACTCTTCATACACTTGATGTCCTGACAAGGATGTAAACTGGAATGCAAATACTTTACTCAAATTAGCACTTTATTTGCAAAATTAAAACTGTGTCTTCTTGTTTCAGACTTAAGTATGGCTCATGCCATTCTTCTGATGGAACTCAGTTCATGGCCTTAGCAAGGCTGAGAAGGGCAATAAAATGCCCAAGAAGAGAGAGCTCAGTGCACAGGTAATATAAACAACTGCTACGAGTTTCTTCAGCCCCAGTTCTGAGTTCCAGGGTCATTTTGCCTAAGTTAAAAAATGGACTTTTTACGAGAGCATGGAATGACAGGACAAGGGGAATGGATTCACGCTGACAGAGGGCAGGGTTGGATGGGATGTTAGGGAAAAATTCTTAGCTGTGAGGGTGGTGAGGCCCTGGCACAGGCTGCCCAATCCCTGGAGTGTCCAAGGCCAGGCTGGACGGGGCTTGGAGCAACCTGGCACAGTGAAAGGTGTCCCTGCTCATGGGACTGCATGGGCTTTAGGGTCTTTCCAACCCAAACCATTCTGAGGCTGAGTAATTTTACTGCAAAAGCAACAGTTTAACAAAGCTAAAAGTAACTTCCACATTTGCTGTAGAACAGTGACCCCACGGCTCCCGAGGGACCTGACATCTTCAACTCCCCTCACCCCTTGGGTTAAATTAATTTTGCAAAAGCCCATTTTGAGTGTTGTTTAAGAGGTGTAGCTAGTGGCAGAGCAGCTGGCACTGCCAGCAGTGGGTGGTGCCAGGCGTGAGGCCCCGGGCTCACCTTGGTGTACTCGGTGAGCGCCTCGATCAGCGCGTACGTGGTCTGGGACAGCAGCGTGGCCGTGCTGTCTGTCACCAGGGACACGGCTCTTCTGATCAGGGCATCGTTGCTCAGGGACCCCGAGCTCTGCTTCTGCAACACAAGACACCCGTGTGACCCCGTGTGACCTCGCCATCGCCCTCCCCACGGACACCACTCCAACACCAGGGTGAGGAAAAGCCCCACTGCGAGGCTGCACAGCCAAGCTCTCCCTGAGGATGCAATCCTGGGGGGAACCAGGACGAGCAGGTGGGTTTGGGTGTTAAACTGGCACAGGGAGGGGGTGCTGGGGGTACCTCCACGACGGGGACAGCGCACAGGGCCACCCCCAGCCCCACGGCCTGGTGCCACTGCCCGCTCCTGCCCACGAGGCCTCGCTGCCGGACGCTGGCCAGGACTGGGAAGCTGCGCCTGGAAAAGCAAGAGGCAAAGTTTAGCAGCAGAAACGTCCCAGTGTGGGGTGGGAAATGGGGGTCAACGAGGAGGAGAACACCCAGAAGCTGTTCGAGGGGATCTTGTCTATGCCAGGCTCCTGTGATGCAGCTGTGTGACAACAGTTTGTTTCAAATTTCGTATTATTGTTTAATCATTAGTGCAAGAAAAGGCAAGCACAGTAACTAGTGCAGTATCAATACTTCTAGAGACAAAATGTGTGTTAGCTGGTATGGACACACTGCTGATAGTCAACAATACTGGAAAAGAGGTTAAAAAACATGCTCAAAAGTGGCGTGTGGTACATTCAGGTGAGAAATGTGACAGGTTTGTTACACTTGGGTCTCTGTGGTCAGTTTTATTTATAACCCAAGCTGTGCAAATGCCCTGGGGTCAGGGTCTATCACAGAAAATACTCGAGCAGAAAAACAGAAGCACATGAGAGTCTTTTTTGTTGTTCTACAGCAATTTAATGAAAACAACCGGCGGATTTTCCTTCTTTTATGCCGTGTACTCTTTAGCCTACAGCCTGCGGGTGGGTAGCGCGGTGCGGGCAGCGTGTGTCCCCCTCAGCCTCTCCCCCCGGCCCGCCGCGGTACCTGAGCACGGAGCAGCAGCTCCGCAGCCACCGCCCGCCCGCCGCCATCTTGGCCCGCCCGGCGCGCGGGAAGTGACGTCACCCCCGCCCACCTGCGGGGGGCGGGGTCCGAGCTCGGCGCGTGCGCAGAGCGCCGGCGCGTGCTGCGGGGGCGCGCGCCGGGCCGTGAGGGCAGCGGCGGGAACGTGAGGGGAGCGACCGGGAGATGTCCCCAGGTGTGTCCTCGGGGCTGTCCCCAGGTGTGTCCCCAGGGATGTCCTCGGGGCTGTCCCCAGGGGTGTCCCCAGGTGTGTCCTCGGGGCTGTCCCCAGGTGTGTCCCCAGGAATGTCCTCAGGGCTGTCCCCAGGGATGTCCCCCGTCACGGCCCTGTGCAGCACCCCTGACACCTCCTCCGTATTTCGCCGGGATGCCCAACATCGCAAGGGTCAGAAATAGGCAACAATTTGCCTAGCTGCTGGGAATGAGAAGGAGAGTATGAAACAGGGTCTTGTCTAACTGTTGCAAAATGTGGAATGTGTAAAAATCCTCTTAACGGGCTGTTCTTTGGTGTTTGGTTTTGTAGCTTTCAAACTGGATAAGAATACTTAATCTGTGAAACAGATAAGCCCACAAGTTTTTACTGATGTCGGGGTGTTAAAAAACCAAATGCCTTGGTGGTGGAATTGCCTTGATAAGGTTTAGGGCTTGGTGTCTTTTAGTGATACTAGACTTGGGAAAGGTGAACAAAGCTTGGGAAGAAAGACAGAAGGAATGTGGAACTTTGGGCCATGAGGACATTGGGCAGAGCCCCCAAGACAAGGAAGAAACTGAAAAACCAAAAAAACCTTTCACATCTGAGTTGAAATCAGCTCCATTGGATACAAGGGAATTCCATCGTGACCAACTCGGAGACACCAGTGCTCCTCACGGCCCTGGTTTAATTCATCTTTATTGTTCTAAAGTACATGCTGCTGTTTTTATTTTGGGTAGTTCCATGCTAGTGATAATCTCCACCTTCTCCACCAAAGGTTTCCTATTCCACACAAAATGACCATAATCAATTAAATCTATTCTTTTTAGTTATAGCAAGAGTTCCTGTTCTCTCTCCTGTTTTCAGAGACTCAGCACAGGTTACTTTACTGAGGCAGTGCTGTATCACACATTTTTCATCTAACTCCATGCTTTAAACACTTGTTCCAGAGCCTGGCACGCCTGAGAGCGCCAGATAACAACCCTGTACCTGATAAAACCGTAGGGAGAGGGGAACCTTGTGCTGATTTGAAATGTCTTTTTCCAGGACTTCTAAAACAAATCACAAGTAATTTCAGTGTGTCTGCCTTCACACCCTTAATGAGGCAGAGCAGGACAAGGCAGGACTTGTTTGTTGAGATGTTGGAGTGGTGTTGCATCCCTGCCATCCCCTGTGCTGGGCTCGGCAGGGTGGGAATCTCAGGAGAAAACTGCTGGGAGGCTTTTAAATAGTTCAGAGTCCAGGAGACACAAAGAATCTGCGAGAGCCGCAAGGATCTGTAAAGTGCATGCACGGGGATACCTTTTCTCTTTTAACCTTTATTGTTTTCACACAGGAGAATGAGGCTGAGGTGAGGCAGCAAGAGCACAGAACTCTTGCGGGTTCGGCGCAGGGGGAAGGCGCCTCCATCCCGTGTGCGGAGCTGCGCCCCGGAGCCGCGTGCCTCTGGAAAGGCCGAGGGAGCAGGAGCGGGGGCAGAGCCCTCATTTGAGCACCAGGAAGTAGGTGGTCCAGCCGGCCAGCAGCAGCGCCCCGAGCAGCACGGTGTAGCTGAACAGCACGAAGGCCAGCAGCTCCCGCAGCACCTTGAGGAAGTGGATGGCAAAGGAGTCTGGCATGGCTCTCCCGGCTCCCAGCTCCTCCCTGGCCTGGAAGCAGAGGAACAAGGTGAGGCTTCTTCACAGCAGGGGCACCACCCTGACGTGGGGAGAAATCTTGTGGGCTGGGGGATTGATGGCCACCTGGAAGGTTGTTAGTGACTGGCGTGGGCCTGTTCAGAGCCCTGCTGAGGTGCTGAAAGAGAGTTTGGGATCTGATCAAAGTCTCCAGATCAGGACTGGTGAGGAAGCAGATGGAAGTACAGACACAGGCAGTGGGCACGGCCATGGGGGTGAGGCTGGGGGGTGTTACAGAGTCCAGCTGGCTCCTGGAATCTCTCCCCTGGGGCTGTGTGTCCAGGAAGCGTCAGGATCAGAGCGGCCGCTGATGGTGCATTACCAACAGCGTGTTCTGATCAGAGTGGTCAATTCCTCCAAGGAAGCCACCATTAATATTTAATTCTATAATTGCATCTAATGGAGGTACTGGCACAAACTGAGCCTTTTGTTTAGGAATGACGAAAACTGAGGCTTAAATACAAGTTTGTACAGGCAAATATTTATATCTTGTGTTAAAAATAACCGTTAATAGGAGACGTGGGATAAGATGCCTTAGAATTCATCTTCTAGCAGTATTGTATAGTCATATGTACGCATTGCTTTGGAAGGGATTGCTCATTTGTTTAGTTTAAATTAAATCTGAACTTCTCCCCTAAAGTCACTGGCTTCTTAGATTTGAAGCTGTGAAAACCCACCTAAAAAATTCTGTTGTCTCTTCAATTTACGTGTTCTTTTAAATTTTCATCGCAACTGTGCCCGATCAACAATATTGACGCTCTTGGTCAAGCACGGACGGGAGTTTAAAATCAGACTTAGGATAAAAACCAACCCAGAAGGATTATTTTTCTTCTGAACAGCCTAAAGCCAGCTAAACTAAACTGAATTCCTGTCCTGCTGCCTGGAATGTTTTTTGAAGAGCTCTTGTGATAAGGAATTCACTTTTTGGTGTTGTTTAATGGGTTCAGCCATTCCATTCCAAGCTCAGGCACATGTATATAGTACAGGAGTTACAGCATTTTTAAACCAGCTATGGTTTCTCTGTTGTTCAGAGCGTTACAGATTTCTGTCCATAGGCTGTGCGAGATTTCTGGTTATCTAGAAAGATGCTGATAGAAAAATAAACTGCTTACCCAGGCAGATGACGGGCTCTGCTTCGGCAAGTTCGTGTTTCTCCCTGGTTTTGCTCTGCAGCTGTCCCTCTTGCAGGGGTTTGTGCCGTAGGCTGATCCCGCTGTGATCCAGGAGCAGAGTGTGTGTGTGTGTGTGTGTGTGTGTGCATCTCACACGAGGACTGAGCTCTAGGTGTGGTCAGCACCGGTTATGATCCGACAGCGCCGGGGTGCTCAGAGCAGCCAAACACTCCCCTTCCCCTGGGGGCTTTTGGCAACAGCATTTCCAGGGTTCCAGTGCCAGGGCTTGGAGTCACCAGACCAAAACCTGCATTTGTTGAGATGTGGGGGTTTGCCTCTAACAAAACCTTGTGTCATCTTACATGTTTTATTCTGTTATCTCGAAGGCTGCAGTGCCTCTTGCTCTGTTCCCTGAGCACCCTGTGCTCTGTGAACCACTCCGGAGGAGGATGCTCACACACAGCTGGGGCTCATCCCCAGGGTGGGACTGTGCAGGCTGAGCCAGGATATTTATCAAAACTCAGTGAGGGCTGAAGGCAGCCTAATCCCTGCACGGTCCCCAGGTCACTGCTTAGTGTCACCCTTACCCTCCTTCCCAAGGAGTCATCCCAACATTTTAGAGCTCAAATGCTGCAGCTCCTTTGCAGTGAGGGGAGGAGAGCCAGGCTCTATGTTTATTCTTAGCAAACTGCTTCTGATAATGTATGAAAAGTGAAAGTCTTGGGGTAGAGGTTGGGTAATATTTTCTTTTTTTTATTTTTTTGTAGTAATGTAGACAGCAGAGAAGGAAGATTATGTACTGCAAATCAAATCTCTTACCTACAAAGATATTATGATGTAGAAAATGGTCCCTTAATTTAATTAGGTTCTCTTGTTATCAAATTATTACCCACATGGTCAGCAGGGCCTTGGACAGAAGCAGAACATCATCAGCTGCTCAGGAAGCCTGTTAAATAGTAATTGCTCCTCCAGGGAATTGATCAGTGTCAGGATGGCTTTTATTTTGTTGTTGAATAGTTCCAGGAAGAGGCTTTGTCTAGGTGGAGGGGTTACACAGTTCTAGTGTAGGCTGCAAAAAAATAGGCTGCAATGTTGGTGATGAATTCAGTGTTTACCAAGTGTCTGGTGTAAACTCTTTACCAAAAAAAGTTTTGCCTGTAGTGTTACTGATTGCTGGCCAGGGGGAAGGTGAGAAACTCTGTGTTTTTCTTTATTCACCTGTGGTGTAGCTCAGAAACCAGCCTGGTCAGTATTTCCTTGGGATTAGTTCAACTATTAAAATTTAATTAAAAAATAATCTGGAAATTGTGATACTACAGAGACACTTCAAGGCCAACCCAAGGACACACCGTTGGTCTGAGTCAATTTCTTGTTTTTCTCTGCACAGTAACATCTAATTTTTGATCCAAACCTAATTCAGTTTTCCTTTTAAATACTCTGAAATTAGCTACTTTAAATGGAACTTGCAGAGCAAACAATCCATGTTTGCTCCTCTTGCATCACTGAAGTTGCAGCATGTTTTTTGTTAAGTCTGTCTACAAGTTGCCTCCCCACCTGAAATAGAAAGTCTCCGGTGATTGAAATTGTATTTTTCTTCAAAAGTTCAGAAATTCCACTTCTAATGTAGTATTACAGGTGGCAGAACAGAATTAAATTTTACATGAGCCTTCATTAAATAACACTTGGGTGTTAGAAAAATAGTTTCAATTTAAGTAATTCAGTTATCCAGTTATCCTGGGACAGGGAGACAAGGATACAGCTACCACAGTGCAGGGTTTTATTTTATTTTTGTATTCTAGAGAGAGAGAGAGTGTGCAAACACTTCCAAAAAAAAAAAAAGATTAACTACATCTTTATTTTATTTTATTTAATAAGTCAGCACCAGTTAAACAACTGGAGGGGCTCCATGGAGGGTCTGACTTGGCAGACTTCAGTCTTAGAAAATAAAGCAGACCAAAACCCACAGTCACAACTGTGACAACTTGGAAAATTTGAGGGATTTATTGGGACATATTATACATGATAACTAAGGCAGAAATGTTTGCTAAGAGACTGATTTAAGGTGAGGAGTGGGCCTTTTATTAGTTGTGTTTAAGAGTCAACTGCAGTGTGGAAGAGTCCCCAGTGGCTGTGAGGACACTGACAGTGCCCAGCCCAGCCCAGGCACCACCAAGGACCCTGCTCTGCCTTCCCTGTGCAGCCAGGAGCTGCCTCTTGCATGCCCAGGGCCCAGCCACCAAGCCCATGGAAAATTCCATTTTACAAGTTTGAGCTCTACAACAGCTTGTGACAGCAAGTACCAGTTTATAACCTGAACAGGGGGTGAAAAAAGTGCCTGTTTAAAACCCACTGTTTACTGGGTCCCTGCTCTTGCTATTTTTGGCCCCCACACAGGGAGTGTTTGTGTGTCTTCAACCATAAACTCAGGACACACTGATGTCATTCATACTCTGGAGGAGCTTTCCAGCATCAGGTGGGTGTACCTAGGACAAAGAAAGCACCTCACAGCAATCCCTTCAGGGGACAAGTGAAGTAAAAGGCTCAAGGATCACAGGTATAGCTGTGTACAGATCTCTGACTGACACATCCATGGAATGTATCAGGCACCAGAGAGAGACAGTCTGGGAATACTGGTATGAAGTAAGGAATAGAGAACATCCTGCCACCTCAGCACCTTAGGAGGGTAAAAAGCAGAAATCACATCTCCCACCAAAGCTCAACTGAAAGAAAAAAAGCAGCAATTTGCCAAAGAGAAGGACCAGGGCCCATTCCCGCTGCCCCAGCCCTCGGCTGCCAGGTCAGACCATGAGCAGGGATCTCTCTCTTTCCCACTATTTATCATTAGTGCCTTCCAACCCTGCTTGTCTACTTGGAAGTTCCACAGACAGCTGGAACACAAGTGCAGAAGGGATGAGGGTAACTGCTCACGAGCTGGTCCCAGGAGAGCTTCCTTCACTGCCGTGTTTCTCTGATGGAGCAGCTGTGCCAGCTGACATGCCTGTGTTACACAGGGCCTCTCACATTTCCTGTCTCTCACCACACACCCTAGAACGGGGCAGGCTCCAGTTTCTCCATCAAGGATTTGATCCAGGTTGTCCCGTTGATGAGTTTTGTAGTGGCAATGATGTACTCTGTGCCTCCATCCTCCATCTGGGACAGGAACCTCAGTGCGGCGATTTCTGCGTACGTGACCCCGCCCAGGAAGAACACCAGGGTCACTCTATTCTCACCCTGCTGACCTGTGGGTTCACAAAAAAGGTCCAGGTTGGCTTGGTTTGATTTTTACAGCTCCTCTGCATCAACTGTCAGTCAAACTCAAATGACCTGAATTAGAGGCTGGGACACAGAAATCCACAGTCTGCTCCCAGCTCTGGAGTTGCTACAGGATGTGTTTCTGTTTGAGAGTGATGCTGACCCTCCTTCACATAACATTACTTATTAAAATCACAGTGTAAGTTTAGGGTTTATTTTTGTACTCTAATGAGAAGTTAAACCCTTTGTCAAAGGAGGATTAGGCAATCTAACACTGCTGTGGGACAGGGGGATGCCAGACACCTGGACTCTGCCTGCCCTGAATTCAGTTTGCCTCACTCCCTGCTCACACAGACATATTTTCCTGTACACCATGGGAAAACAAACCCCAACTTACGCTTTTTCTGCAGGCCAGTAGGGAGCTGCTGCCTCTCCTCGAAATGGGGCCCTGGCAGCATCTTCAGAACCTCCTCGATGCTGCGCCAGCCCGGCCGGGCCAGCAGCTGGGCCAGGCGCACGCTCAGCGGGGCGTAGCCGCTGTACACGTACGAGATGTCATTGGGGTTCTGGGGGCACAGAGACAGGGAGGGGACAGCACGTCAGTGCCATCTCCTGCTGCAAAACAGCCTCAAATAAATCAGTAACATTGAATAAAAAAGGAGGTTTTCCTGCTGCACATAATTCTGTAGTTAGAGGTAATGTGTGCTGCTGAGGTGCCCCTTTACCTGCTCATTAACATCATCCATCCACAGGCGCAGCGTTTTCCTGATCGTCGGGTAGTTATTCCTGCCACCTGTCTGGGGTTTCAGGAGTCCAGCCTTTTCCAAGTTGTTTAAGGTCAATATATGTTCATAGCCATAAGTCTGTAATATGAAGAAATCATCTTTAATAGCATGGCAATAACCCATGACCAGTGTTTAAAACAGGAAAAAAAAAAAAAGCAAATATGTTTGTTTAAAAAATATGTTTGTTTAAAAGAAGTTTTTTGGTTAAGATCTCTGTAGAGTATATCCAATTTAGAGTGTTTAAATAATATTAGTAAAAAGTGATATAAGCCTCTGTATCTACATGTTGTAACAAAAGCACCTCCCAAGTATCTGCCCAAACAGAAACCCAGTACTCCCTCTATGCACATTATTCAGGTGTAAGATGTGTCTGTCTAGAATTGAAGTGTAGAGCTAAAGATTTGACATGGATTTTCTCAGGAATTTATTCCTCCAAATGTTAGAGGCTAACCTGGATAATCTCCCTTTTGTAATGGTCCAGAACCTTCTGCTTCAGCCCACTATTGCACACGGATTGCAAGCACACGAGACGCAAGATCTTGATTAATGGATGTTTCTGAGCTATGCAGTCTTCAATGTAATTGTTAACCTATTAAAGAAAATACATAAGCAATTATTTCAAGAATTGTTAAAGTGCCCATCAGACCTGGAAAGAAAGATATGGTTTGCCTGGTTCTCCAAAAGAGCAAGAAAGAGCAGCAGCTGCTCTCCAGGCAGCTCAGGACCATCTGTAAAACAGTGACCCAGCTCTGGTTCCATCTGGGCTCTCCCTAGAGCAGTCCCTCACTCAGTAGCAAACTTTGCACTAAAAAATTCTTATTAACCATCTTCTATGTTCCACTGATTCCTCAGAGCATGGGGTGCCCCTGGACAGGTCAAGCACCCCAGCTGTGCACAGGCAGTGACAGGTAACTGAGAGATCCATTTCACTGGACATCATCTAGATCAGATGTTTCCTCTCTCAAAAAAACCAAACCAAACCAAACCAAACCAAAAAAAACAAATGGGAAAAGAAAGTTTTTTGAAGATGTAACAGTGGCTAAATGCCATTATCTGCTTACCTTGTCTGTGTCTATTCCAGACATGAACTCTTGCTCCACTGTTAAATTATCAAAGAAATCTTCAGATGCTTTGGGAAAAGAATAAATATCAATACAAGAGCAACAGACAGCTTATGTTTTACAATTAATGTTTCAGCAGAGATGCACTGGATGGAGCAAAGCCAGTTTTTGCCAGGCTGAGTGATGTCCACCAGGTTACCTGGCATCCTGCTGGATTTACATGATTCCTACTCACTGGTGATGTCTTTGATGAGCTCTGCGATGGAGGTGTGGTTTGCCAGCGAGCTCCTCGCCGCCTGCATGTGAGGCAGCTGGGACACAAACTGCTTAATCTCTCCAACAGTCTTGGCATGGTGCCTTTCCTGTAGAAATCCATCACTTGGGTTAGGCCTTGTTCATGTTAGTAACACCAAACAGATCATTTTATCATGAAGAATTATTATTGCACTCCCTGCAGGGAGTTAGAGCTATGCAGCCTTCTGGACAAAGATGCTTACACTGAAGGCACAGCATTACCTGTAACAGCACTTGGATCACGGGGAGAGGCAGCACATAACACAGCAGCATCATTAGACTGTTATTTTCCATTATCCCAGTGTTGTAAATCATTTTATCCACATTTGTCTGACTCCAGCCATCACTAGCTGCTCCTCAATTTCCCTACCAGGGAAAATTCCCTTTCTCACACCAAGAGGAATTACTTTGCTGGCTGACAGGGAGCTCTAGGCCAACGCTGTCAGAGCTGGGGAACGTCTTCCCTTGGAGCAGGAGTGAAAGGTGCTGAGGAACTGGGCTGGCACGGTCTGCCATTCACTCTACTTGGTGGCAACAACATGCCAGGTTTTGAGGCAGGACGTGCTGAAGCACCATGCAAACAGAGTTCAGCTCAAGAGGTCTGCACTGCATTTGTGCTACTTGCCTCTTGCTGCAACTTGGAATAAAAATAGTAATAATTTGACTCATATGTGAAGGATTTAAATGGGCAAGTGCAGGCAGGAGAGTCATGATGGAGCCTGTGACTGAAGAAGTCCTCTGCTGCCAATATGCTGCTGTTTCATTATCACCTATTACTGCTGACAATTTCTTAGAATTCTCCCTGTTTAACAAGCAGTATGAACAATCCATCTTTAGCACCTCCAGCACTAATAGTGCAGAAGCAGAGCTGCACTGGGGAATGAGGCTGAGCACTCAGTGTTTCAGTTAAGGTACCACTACCTCATTTTAGATGAGGCAGGTAAAGAGGCTAAAAAATAGCCCTAAGGAAATACAATCAAAGAGTGAACAAGTTCTCTTGAGAATCACCATGAGGTCGGAAAAATGAGATATGGGATCTCAGTTTATGAATCATCAACAGCATGTTTTCAACAAAACCACAAACGTGTCCCACACAGCTCTCCAGATTTGTCTGAGACAAGCATGAATTTATAGTTCAAACCTCCTGCATGACAACTGCCTTTTGCACATCTATGGGCTCACACAGCACAAGCCTGGATTAGGCAAGCTCTGAGCAGAGGGAAAGCCCCAGAAGAGAGGTGTGGGAGAAATGAGGAACCACATTACTACAGGCTCCTTAAAAGGTGATTTGACCAACACCACTCGGAACAGTCCATCCCAGGGCAGGGGAACAGACTGGAACAGCTTCCTGTTTTTTTTCTGGGTGGGGGATTATTGTGGGAGCAGCTTGAGCTGCCAGTCCCAGCCCTGCTGAACACAGACTGTGAATTATCTGGTGCACTGATGGATACAGGCCTCACCTCAAAGGCTGCTGAGATGATCTTGGCTTTCTTGCTCAGCACTGACCCCACAGCGTTGAAGTTCTTGTCTCGGATTTCGGCATAAAGCTCTTCTGCAGAGTTCAGCTGGAGCTTCTTGGGTTCTGTGGGGAGATCTTTCCCACCCTCACCCTGCTTCTTTGGGGCAAACTTCTCAGGAGGGAGTTTCACATAAGCTACCAAATGAAGAGAAATAACCCTTGTAAGGACTGGAACTTCATCAGCAGAAGTTAAGATCAGCAGGCGGTGGAAATGTGTCCCCTGAGCTGGAAACAGCTCTGAGTAGCAAAGCAATATTAACACTCAAACCACTCAGTGCCTGTGTGTTAATGAAGGAGAGTCCCCCTGCACTCAGCCAGGAACCTACACAAACATCAGAACCCAAGTGCCAGCTGCCCTGCTTTCAGAGAGCCTTGGAGGCAGCCCAGCAGCCAGTCCAGTCCAGCAGGAGGATTACAGCCCATAAATGCCTCCCTGGAGTTTTCTTACCCCCTGAAGAGCAGGACAGCGTTCTGAAAATGGCATTTCACAAACTGTCCTGTCCCCTCAGTGTGACACGTGATCCAGGCAGGATGGATGCTGAAGGCACACACTAACATTCCCACTCACACACTCCTTCTTCTGTCACTGTGCCTGCACCCAGCCAACAGCCAGAAGATGCCCCTTCAGTAACCATGGACTGTACTTGGCTCCCCTTCCCAGGCAAAAAGAGCCAGAGTGGAACATGATGGGCTCCAGCTTGGGACTGAACAAACCCCACACTGGTTTCAGCTGAGCTGCTCCCACATCACATTTAGAAAAGCACAAACCCACCCAACACACTGCAGCCTGCCCAGGACACGGGAAAGCTGTCCCTTCCCTGCAGGACTCACTGTTCTGGATGCCATAGATCTCATCGATCAGCCCCTCGTACGTCAGCTGCGTGGCCAGCGGGGTCAGCAGGTCCACGTTGCGGTCCAGCAGCAGGAGGGTATCAAAGACAGGAAATATGGAATTCTGGCTGCCAGGGAACTCACGCTTCATCCTGATCATCATGTTGGCCACGTGCTGCAAGGAAGTCACATTGCTCTGGTGAGGGTGCAGGCCACAGCAGATGGATGTGACCTCTGGGCCCTGCAGGCACATGCTTGTAAAGGAAGGGGGATGGCAGGAGGTACAGACTGGCTGATGGACAGAGCAGGATGAGACTGAGAAAACAAAAGTCCTTCTCTGTTGCTCTCTGCAGCTCAGCAAGACAGCGACGGCCAAAGCACTGCGTTCACCTCAAGCTGCTCCCTCACCACAAAAAATACCAATTAAACCACGGGTTAATCACAGAGAAGCAAAATGGATGTGTGTGTGTGTCATGGCTGGGTTAAAAAAACCCAGAGGTGCATTTAACCAAACACTCCTTAAGGCATTTCCAAAGAACAACATGAATTTGTTCAGCCTCACCCGAGCACAGTCGCCCTTCCCAAAAATCTGTGGGATGGTTCCATAGAGAGCCTGCAGTGTCATCAGCCCCTTTGCTGCATGGTACAGACTGGTCTGGTCACTCTCCAAGTAACATTCCTAAAGAACAAGAGGGATTCTGATGGGAGGTGTCAATCCAACACAGATGCTTCCACAGCAGAGCAGGGTTCATGTGAACAGTTCAGAGGAGACACAGGCTGGGGACAAACTATGGCTGTTGGCATATATGGACCTTACTACCTGTGCTGTCACTACATCAAATCATTTTTTGATCACTAGACTCTAGTATTTTTTGAACTCCAAACACAAATACAGTTTGATGGAGTAAAAGTGACTGGAAGGACCTTCTCCTGCTAATTAGGCCAATCTGAGCACCCAACACCTCAGCTGCAAGCCCTGCCACATCCTCTGAGGGCCCAAACTCCCAAACTATCCTGTCCTTGGATGCAGCACTCTGGGAATGCAGGACATGCAGCTGGGATGTGACAGCTGTTAATGCTCAGTGCAGTGAGAACCATCACACGACTCTCCTGGCTGCGCAGGAACACAACTGTGCTGGCTCCTTGTGACAACTGAGTGCTTTAAGCCTCAGGATGCTTCACTTGTGACAGTAACACCAGCAGCTGAAGCTGGAGGAACTGGGATGCAGCTTGGTGTAGTGACTGTTCCTTCAGCATTTAGTGTGAAAACACACAGGGAAGTTCAGGCTTCAGGATCAGGCCAGGTTTGCTCTGCAAGGCCTTTCCTTGCTGTGCAGGTCACTCACAAACCCTCTGAGAGCTGCTGCAGCAGCAGCAACGTCCAGCACAAAACCACATCCTGCTTTTCCTCGAGGACGAGGCGAGCACGCACCTTGAAGGCGCTCTCGGACTCCATGGAGAGCAGGTCTCCGTCGAAGGGGATCAGGTCCAGGCTGTACTGCTCGCGGTGGATGAAGGAGCCCAGCACGCCCTGCTCCTTCAGCCACTGCTCGCACAGGAGGCTGCGGCGCGGCACGAACAGGATGTGGAAATCCCTCTGCGGAGAGCGGCCTCTGTCTTCCCTGCAAATTCACAGCAGGAGCAGGGCACTCGGTCACTCGCTGCACACGGGAGCAGCACAGACCACGGGCAGGGAGCACTGGATTCACACAAAACAGGAACGCTGCACTGGGTTATGCTGACTCCTGGATTTGGAGTGTCAGTGTCCTTGTGCAGCCACAGCTCTGACACCAGGGCAGGGGGACGTGGCTGTCCTGCAGCTCCCAAAAGGCACAGCAATCCAAGCATGACTCGTTCCAGCTAATTAGAAGGAGTGTACGTCCTCGCAGGGAGGAACGCACCCTCTGCATCGCAGCCAAGGTAAAGCCCCCCTGCCCAGGGTGTCTCACGCCCCCACTTAAACCACAGAGTGGCTGTGCTGCAATTTGGTGTCTGCACATCGCCCTCGTTCCCTGCACAGGTGTAACAAACCACACGGTGGTTCGGGCCACGCCTGCCCCCTCCTCACGGCCGCCCTGCGTGCCCTGCCCGCGGTACCTGAGCACGTTGTCCGTGATGATGTCCATCAGCTCCAGCTTGGGTCTGACGAAGAAAATGATGTTCTTGACGTCGGCCGGGGGCAGCCGGCCCGGCTTGAGCGTGAACATCTTCTCCACCTCATGCTCCTGCGCGGAGGCACGGCCGTCAGCCGAGCGCGGGGGCGCCGGGTCCGGCCGCCTGCCCCCGGCCCCCGCGGCGCTTACCTTGAGCAGCGAGTACTGCGCGATGAGCCCGAACGGGCCGGTCAGGTACTCGTCCCACACGATGGCCTGCGGGAAGGGACGGCGGGATCAGACCGGCCACACCTCGCGCGGAACCCCCCGGCCCCGGCCCCGGCCCCGCCGTGCCCACCTTGGAGCCCGCGCACTTGTCGAGGAACTCGCGCAGCTCGCGCCGCCCCGCCTCGCGCAGCGCCGTCAGGTTCACCCGGCCCGAGCTCAGGTGCGCCGCCATGGCCGCCCCACCGCGCCCGGCCGCGGGGCGGGGCCGCGCAGCCGCACGGAGCGCGGGGCGGGGCCGCGAGCGTCAGAGACGGCGGGGAGCGGCCGCGCTCGGGACCGGCGGTCGTGGGTGATCGGGTGTGATGTGTGATCGTGTGTGTGTCATGGGTGTGTCATGGGTGATCGGGTGTGATATGTGATCGTGTGAGTGTCATGGGTGATCGGGTGTGTGTGTCATGTGTGTCAGGTGTGGCCCCTGGCTGCTCCCGGGACTGTGACCGGCCGCAGCAGGAGCTGCTTCCCCCTGCGCTGGGCACTGCTGCGGCCGCACCTGGAGCCCCGTGTGCAGGACAGTGAGGGGCTGGAGCGTGTCCAGAGCAGGGAACGGGGCTGAGGGAGCTGGGAAGGGGCTCAGCCTGGAGAAAAGGAGGCTCAGGGGAACCTTTGGCTCTGCAGAACTCCTGCCAGAAGTCCCAGCCGGGAGGGTCGGGCTGTGCTCCAGGGAACAGGGACAGGGAATGGCCTAAAGCTGCACCCGAAGGGGTTCAGGTTGGACATCAGGAGGAATCTTCACTGAAAGGGTGGTTAAATGTTGCCCAGGGAGGCAGTGGAGTCACTGTCCCTGGAGGTATTTAAGTAAGGACTGGATGTGGCACTCAGTATACCCTGGTCATGCTGACGAGGTGGTGTTTAACCAGATTTGGTGATCTCAGAGGTCTCTTTCCAGCTGATGGATCCTGTGATTTACAGTGCAGCCCCTGGGCACACCTGTCCCCATGCAGAACCCCTCACACTCTGAACGGAGTGCAGAAAAGACAACACTACTTTTTTTTCCAAAATATAACTTTATTATATATATGCATATATACACACACCACACTCACTATATAGAAGCTGAAATAATGCAAAACAGGGATGGCCCACAAACTGTTCCAGGTGTGCACAGCTGTGCACAGCAAACAGGTTTCCAAAAACCCCAGCAGCTCCTTACCTGCGTCATTTCCACATTTCACACCAAACCACGACCCAGAGCTCACGGCACCGAGCGACATCGCAATCAAAGGAGTAAATGAAAATAAAGATGAAGTATTTCTCAACTCAGTCCAGTGTCAAAAAAAAGCTTAAAAATCTAAATGTACAAATTCAGCCTTAAAATGGTTTAGTGCAAATATGAAAATTAACAGCATATTTTAAGGTATTTAAATAAGCTTTAATATAACTCTAGTGCTTCATTCCTATACATGTTTTCCCACCAACAGATCCAACAGCACAGGGACATTTCCTGTTAAGGGCAGGACAAACCCAGAACCTGGGAAGAAACAGCATAAAGTCATTGTTAAATCATTTATTTATCTTTCACTGAAGTTTGTTAAAAAGGGACAGGGGGTCTGTATTAGTGGAAGATCAAAATATCGATGCTTGTAGGGACTCCGGAGCGGGCGGGCAGCGGCGCGAGGGTCACTGTCCCTTGTCCTGGCAGCCAGCGCAGGGGCCGCTGGCGGAGGCCGGGGCTGTCCCCGCTCAGAAGGTCTCGTCGTCGTTGCAGTCGGCCGTCCAGTGGCCGAACACCTCGCACGTGTCGCAGTAGGGCCGCTCCTCGCGCCGGCTGCCGTGGTGCGCCGAGTGCGGCGGCTCCTCCAGCGCCTGCGCCTGCGTCGGGCAGTCCTCGGTGTCGTGCAGGTCGAAGCAGCCGCAGATGTCGCAGAAGAGACGCGGCTTCTTCTTGGACAGGCTCTCCTCCTCACTGCAAGAGCAGCATTGGCACAGTCAATGCCTCTGTCACACGGGAGCAGGGCCCACGGCCCCGCAGTGAGCTCGTGGCTACTGAGACTCGGGAAACGTCACGGAGCTCCACCAAAAACAGGAAACAAACCCTTCTCCACCACCCTGCAGTGCCCCCACCACCCCTACACTCTAATATTTACTGAACAAGCTGCTGTTGGTGCAAATACTTGCACAGAGATCTAAAAGAAACACATGTGAAAGAGTTTCTCTTTTCCCTTAAGAGAGCTGAAGTCATGATACATCAAATAGGTTTTAGTTCTATTTCTCTGCATTGGTTCCTCCCATCCCAACACAGCTACAGCCTCTTGGGAGCAAAGACTCTTCTGCACTTGGAAAGGGCCAGATTCACCAAGTCATACAACAGACATGTCACAGACATCAGTGTTTGGGACTGATAACTACAGAGCACCATTTGCACCCCCAGTTACACCACAGCGTAAAGAGAAGGCTGGATCAACCACGGAATCCAGGGAAAGCTCTGTCTGTCCCTCCTGACAGCTGAGATCAGGCTGGAGCATCGTGCAGCTGCCAAGCAGCTCCACCAACAGCTCCCAGAACAAGAGCCAAGGTTTCCTGCAGGATTTGTACCTGTCATAGTTATTTATCTCCTCTTCATTGCCATTGAGGGCTGCTTCACACATTCTTTGTATCTTCAAGTTCAGTTCTTCATTTCTCCTTTGCAGATCCACTATCACTGAATTCAGGAAGTCGATCTAGGAGAGCCAAGGACAAGGACAGTCAGAGGGGCAGGGGGATGGCACCTCCCCCAGCCCCAGGGAAACCAAGGAACACTTGGGAAATTAACAGGAGAGGAAAGAAGTGGAACCAACCTCGCCCTGGGGGAAGGAAGGGTTGCCATCAGCAGGTGAATCCAGGGAAGCAGAAAACCAGAAAAAGATTGGTGGTTAGTGTATATTCATGACACTTCTGGTGGCTGCACAACTGGGAAGGACATTTTTTAATCACTGTGTGTGACATTCCTTTTTAACAAAGGCTTTATCGTGAGCAGAAGGTGATTCTGTTCTAACCATATTTTCTAGGCATTTCTTGGCACAGGCCCCTGAGGTCACTGTGACTGTCCTACTCTGAATCACATCTTCCTGTGCCAGCTGAGCACCTTCCTTCTCCATTGCTGCCAACCCTTGTCCTGAGTCCAGTTCTGCAGTTAGGAAGAACTGCAGAGCTCAGAGGTACCCAGGAGCTCAGGGAACCCATTTCTCCAAGATGGCAAGCCCCAGCTTCAGGTGGGCCACAGCTTTTCCCCATGCACATCCAAGAACCCTTTGGGAATGCCAAGGAGCAGTGAGTGCTCTGCTGGGCTGCACCTCTCAGGCTGCAGGACACAACTTGCCACCCTCATTTCCTGCTTGTTTCCTCACCTTCCCTTGTTTCTCCAGTATGACTCGTCACTTGATTTAGTATTTACTGTCACTGACACTGCCCTTCAGGAGCTGAGGGGCTACAAGATAAATCTGCCCATTAAAATCCTGACTGACAAAACCCAGTGAGGACTGCCTTTGGAATATTCCCCTCTCCTCCAGCCCCACTGCTGGTCTAGCATGCTCATGTGCACATCCAATACCTGCTTCTCTCTTGCAATTTCCTCCTGAAGCAGAGTAGCAGCGTCACCTTTAAAGGAAAAGACCAAACAAGGTAGGATGTGACTTGTGCCATGGCTCGGTCAGAAAAGATGTCACAGCCTCTGAGGGCACAGACACTGGAGTGGCTCTCGCTTTACCTGAGGGGCTCATTACAGCTAAAGGCTGCTCGTTGTTTTCCTTGAGTTTTTGCTCCAAGTTCTTCACCTTTTCCTCAAGTTTCAGTTTGTCAGACTCCAGTGACTTCACCACTGACTGCAGGGTTTTTGCAGAAGCGTTTTCTCCGCGGAGCACCGTGATCTGGAAGAGTTGTTTGACAACACTTGGACCTCCCAGCACCAAGCCAGAGCACCAAGGCCAGGGCCCTGGAAGCAAGGGCTGAACAGCCACCATAACCACATGTCAGGAGCCACCTGGCACAGCACAGGCATCTGAAGATTTGATGCTAAGGTTTAACTATGCCACATGAAAGAAAAATGACCTGCCAGCTCTTCAGGAGCCAGCACACAAAGCCTCTGGCTGCAACTTAACTGAAATTAGGAATCATCCCTTCCTCATTTACCTCATGCCTGAGTTTTTCCAGTTCCTCATCTTTTTGTGTGATCAAGGCACTAGTAACATTGATGGATTTCTGTAAAGATGCTCTCTCTTCATCAATTTCTTTTTTTAAAGTCGATTCTCTAAAAGAAAACCAAGTAAAACCAGAAGTCATTTAATGAATGGGTAATTGTAGTGGCCTAAAGTAGTTTCATTTAATTTCAAGTATTAAACTACTGTAAGAAGTGGTTCTTAAAAAACAAATTACAATTTACTACTTGACTAAGGTTTTATATATGTACAAGCATTTCAGGTGTTACAACTGTGGAAACAAAGCAAAAACTTTACCTAGGTGGTACATGCCAGAATCTGCAAAGCACCGTATCCATTTGAATTTAAAGGAGCAAGTTAACAGACTGGGGAGATACAGGATAAACAAACATGTTGCACAATGTTCCACAAAACCTAACTTGAGAGTTTTGTTACTTCTTGAAAATTACTAACAAGCAACAAAACAGGCATGCAAAGCTCATTGTACAAGTTGTCATGCAAAGCATGGATGAGGCTGGAAATATCAGCTGGTCCTCACTAATTTCAGTGACATCATCATTTGCTGCACATGGAGAAACCACATGGGATTTGTTTTTACTTCATGGGAGAAGGTTAAAAAGAAATCCTCCAAAGCAGGCACAACTCTCTCCTGTGTACATATATCCAGTGTTCCCAATATTTTCCGTGGATCTTAACAGAGATACAACTTCTGCCTACAGCTCCTGCCTTAAGGCACCACTGCTGTGACACCCTCACAGTGCTGCAAGCTGATCTTCCTGACAGGTCACAGAACACACAGTGAGTAACTGTCCTCTGATGGGAGCAGCATTGCTACAAATTCCCTTACAAGCTGAAATTTTTTGGTTAAAAAAGGAAACAGAAAAGTGACTTCAAACCATTTACTTTTCTCCAAGAGGAAATGGCTCTTCAGTGCAGGCAGCAGTGCTGCTGTCAGCTCTGAGCTCCTGCAGGGACTCTGAACTGCTCTACACTCCCCAGCACCGCTGAGGGATCAGGAGCAGAGCCCATCCACATGGGAGGATGCTCAGGGGACAGCAATCGAGCTCAAATGG